ACAAAGTCAGCTGAGCAGATAAAGAACAATGAAACTCTAAGGAAATCCTTTACCTTGGAAGTCAGCTCATCTAAAGCCGGATAAGCATCAGTCTCTAGTTCTCTTGTGCGCGCATCAAGAAAACTACAAATACCTTCTAGTGCAACTTCTAATGCCCGAAATTCAAATGGAAATTCTAAATCATGACATGAGCCAAACAACCAGAACATGAAGTCAAAGAACAGATAGACAACAAGCAAACATACAATATTTGTACAAAACTTGAATCATACTAGCACTAGTAGGAACATGAAATTTGAACTAGAACTTCCTGAGCAATATTGTCCTTTTTAAAGTTGTGTAACATAAACCGATAATGGAGAGGTTCTGAAGAGCATCATTTACTGAGTTCATCGGTTTCAACATCTTTCTGTACCCCTGAGGTTTCTTCATCTTCTCCTTGGCCTTGGAAATTGGCACTTACTAGAGGCAAACGTCTTTGAAGTTCCTCAACAATAGGCAGTACATTATCATCAAAAGGGTCTCTAAGCAATACCTACACCAAGAACAAATCTTAACCATTTTCCTGAATTTTTTTTTATTTTTAAACTTCAATACATTTGGAAACAACTCTGTATTCTGCTCAATGTAAGATGGAAATCCAAGTCATTACCCTCTTTACTGGTTGTGATTAATTGTTAGTTTAATGCCAGTGTTACTAGAATAAAAGAGTGAGGACAAAACGCAAAGGCAAATGAAACAGTACAAAACATATATATATAATATAATTACCTCGTCTGCTGTGATTATAGCTTTAATGTGCTGGAACCCAAATCCCAAAAAAGCATACAAAACAAGCACAGTTTTTAGTGAAAAAATAAATCTAAATCTAAATCAGAACCAAAATCGAATCGAAAGTGCTTGTGGAAATGAGAACCGACCTCCAAATTGAGAACAATCACTTTCTCTCTACCCAAGATGGTAGAAGGATATGATAACAAGGGATCAAGAAGCCGAAGATCTCTAGCGTGAATTTGAACTCGGCGGATAATGGCGTACTTGTCCAAATCCAATACGGTTCCTTCCCCATCTTGGTCCAGCGAAATCCAGCTTCTCAAAGCTGCAGTCTTTTTCTTAGCAGCAGAGGATTGAGCTGAAGTTTGGGTGCTCTCCACTGGAACCAGCAACCCATCTCGAGCCATTTCTAAAGCCAACATCTCCAATTGGGTAAGCTGCTTATTGAAAAAGCAACTTGAGCAATGTGCAAAGTGGGAAAGTTTTGAGCTTTTTGCAAATCAATCAATTGGGTTGGTTTTGGGTTGTTGCAGAGTTGCAGAATTTGATAGTTGTGGAAGAGAGCAGAGAATTCATTTGGGTTTTGGAGGAAGAGGGGCTTGGGTTTGGAGGGAGGAAGGGGAAGATGGGAGAGGTCACAATGGTGAAAATTTGGAGCTTTAAAATTTTGGAAGATATTTGCATGGCTTGGTGGCTGCTAGTGGAAGAGTAGGAGTGTAAGTTAAAGTTTACAGGGGAGAAAGTTTGGACAAAGATATGGTTGAATTAGTTTTACTCGCACCTAATGGCGCGTGCCTGCACATTCCTTTTTTAGAATTGTTGGGACTTAAAACTTTTGTTTTGTAAGATGAAAACTTGTGAATGAGTATGAAATTTCGTGAAATTCATGTCTCGGAAATGAATGAGACTTCTTATGATAAATTGTGACTCGGTATAAATAAATAATATTGAGAAAGGAGAAAATCGAACATAGAACTTCAGGTACATAAGTAAATATTTTTAATCACTCGAATTACAAGTCTTGTAATGAGGGCTAACTTTTTTATTAATCTACCATCCACATTTCTTAGTAATAGGTTCACCTCAAGTGTCATAAATTAATAATTCCAGTTATATTTTGAAATCTTTAATGACATTTGTAATTAGTAAAATGAGAATCATCCATTCACATAATCCTCGTACTAATTATGCAAAACTAAACGGTAAAATGTCTTTGTTGACTATGGATTATGCATTTCAACAACCCAAATATTTATTTCTTTTGACAATCAAACCCAAATACATTTCACGGAAAGATATTAGGGAAAAGAAATCAAGAAAATGGTCGGAGCGGAGAGCACAATAAGCAATTAGATAACTTGGTTTTTCTGTCAAACCCAAGATGCTAATACACTTATCAAAGTCTTAATGACTTGCGTGTAAGGATTAAGAAAGGTATAAAATGGGTGCTTCCTCACACGATCTACGAACATGCTATAGTGGCTCATATATACACACTCATATATATATATATAATATTAATATACTATACCATATATTAATGAGAGAGAGATTGAGAGATATAGGTAGGTGACATGTTGCATAGGTCATAGGTGATGTGGCACTAGAACGCGTTCACAAATTCTCTATCATATTTGTATGTGTTTATATACACATATATGTATTAGATTATTAGTCACACGAATCCAATTTCTTGTCTACTTACCGTACCAACTACTATACTCGTAAGTTACAAAGATGATATATATATCGTGCGGACATTCGGACATTCGGATACAGCAGGATGTTATTATCGTGCGGACGCCGTGTATTTTGTACTACCCCTCTCTATTTTCTTGACTGTTTACAATAGGATCCGCACGATAATAACGTGCGGACATCCGGATAAGAGAATAACTGTATATATATATATAGTTTTTCTCTAATGCGGACATCTGCATTATGTTAAAGTCCAGTCGTCTCCTTTGCAGCTTCTTTTTTGCAAGTGGATTTGGTTCTTAGTGTAACCCACTTTGCTTGAGGAACCATACTAGCTTAGTGGAATCCGTTCATCATTGATATGGCTCTGTAATTAAACAGAAAAAGAAGCCAGCTTACAGTAGCAACCAATGGTATTGCTTATTGTTCTTCTGCACACCTTCCCACCTTTGGGATACTTTTTGGAAGGCCCCATCCTTAATTATATATTTATATAAGGAGTGCTTACCATGTTTTTGCTTTATATATATGTATGCAATCAAAGCCACCTACAGAAAAGAAGCTGGAAGGACATGACCGGACTTTAACACAATGCGGATGTCCGCATTAGAGAAAAACTCTATATATATATATTATAAGGTCACATGAAATCTTCAATATTAGATGTGAATCATTTAGATCCCATCCAAAAAATAATAATGATGATTGCTACATGAAGCATGTGACACTACTGGAAAAAAGGTACTTATTTTCAGGCTAAAGTTCAAAACTCGAGCAAGAGCCATGAGACCCATGACCCAGTTTCAGGCTAGAAATCTCGAGGGCTTATCTTTTTTAGTACTATTTCGTACTATGGAATCATTTTAGACGGTTTCAAGTTTCAACTTCATCATAGAACAAGTTCCGAGTTCAAGTCTCCCTTATTTTTGTTGTGAAAAAGAAAAAAGAAAATTCCCCGAGTAATTTTAACAAGAAAAAAAGATAAACCCTTTTATCCCCCAAATACAATAAGTTGATTTTACTACATTTGAAACTCAGATCAATTGACCAACAAACTTCAAATGAGTCAATGGATTATGACTAAAATGCCGCCACCCCTTAAACACGGATCAATCTCTCTATTTGTATTGCTTGAGTTAGATCATACAATTTACAAATGTATTTCATCCCCATGCGCAAGGCTTGGGATTCAAACAAACAAAAAATAATACCTTGCCTAATTATGAAGGTTAGATTTGACTAGCAATTGTTTAGAATATGGGAGCTTGGTATTCACTCAATCTAAATTTATAATTGAAACCTAATCAAATTATGGCTACAAATTTCAAGTCTAGGTTGGAGTTGGATCACCAAAAACAAGACACAAGCCAAAATAGTCCACTTGATGAGTAAGCTTTCATTCATCCTCAAGCTTAGGCATGTTGATCTTTTAAATGCATCCATGAGTTTAGGGCAAGGCTGAATGTGAACTCCCATTTTTTGATAAATGAGGTGTTGCACGATCATTTTTTGGGATTTTTTAGAAATGTCACATTAACTTATACATCTGTTTCAATTTGTCATATCAAAGAAAAATTTAAGCAAAATGTCATCTTAAGTTTTCAAAATTCATGATTTGTCACTTGACTTTAACATCATCCAATTTTCCATCCTAAGCAAAATGTCATCTTAAGTTTTCAAAATCCATGATTTGTCACTTGACTTTAACATCATCCAATTTTCCATCCATTTTAAAGGTTGTTTTAGTATTTCCAATATGTAAACCGTCTTTTTATATAATTTAAATATAAATACCCTTAAAAATAGATGGAAAATTAGATGATGTTAAAATCAGGTGACAAATCATGAATTTTGAAAACTTAAGATGACATTTCGCTTAAATTTTTCTTTAATGTGACAAAATGAAACTGATGTATAAGTTCAGGTGACATTTCTACAAATATCCCTCAAATTTTTAGTGTGATTGTCACACTATCACCTAGTATTATCAATTTCTCATAATACATATTGTGATTTATTAATGTCATATCGTAAGAGTATAAAATTTAACTTATATCATGTCGTCAATTCATATTATAAATTTTTTAAATAGTAAAGTTCAGTGAGTGACAGTATAACCATCACAACTAAGGTTTTTTCAGTAACTTAATGTGTACTCATAATCATGATCTCAAAATCTAATCATTTTTATTTTTGTCTTTCAGTTACAAAGATTTAAAGTTTCCTAGCAACAATGCCAACGAAACCATTTAAAGAGAATTTAATTTTTTCCAAATTTCCACAAACAAATTATTAACCTGAAAATTACGCGTAATCAGTTTCATCACGATTGTCAGGGGCAGTCCTCAACAATATTAGACTAGCCATCGTGTCAGTCGTTACGTGTTACGTAAACGGAGTCAGACGTAATTGTCATACTAATCGACGATCTATATTCATTGTCGACATCACCTACCGTGGAAAAATACAATAAAATCCCAAGTTTATTTTTTTGAATAAAAAAATTAACAAAAGAGGAAAAAAGGAAAAAAAGAAAGAAACCACCTCCCTCGCAGACAAGAACATGGCCGAACAAGCTATTCACACACTCTCTCTCTTTCTCTCTCTCGCTCTCCCTCTCTCTCTCTCTCTCTCTAAAATCGCGAAGTACCAAAAGGACTGTTTGAAACCCTAGCTTTATTTTATCTCTTCTTTTCTTGTTTCTTTCGTTGTTTTTTGTCATTCCGGCTGTTTCTTGTAATTGAAGCATCGAATTATTTTCTGTGATCTGAGAAATCTGTGAAATGTACTGTTGGAGGAGTGGAAACCCTAACTGCCATTGATGAAGCTATTTCGTCGATGCCAGAGGATCCTCATCCTCACTCTGCTCTCCGTCTCTGTTTTCGCGCCCATCATCTTCGTCTCCCAAAAGCTAAAAAATCTCTCAACTACTGGTAATGTGCATTTTGATTTACGCACTCATTAGTAAATTTATGTATGTGTTTGTTTGATTTGATCAATTATCGATAGTGAGTGGTTTGTGAACTGATGCAGGGCGGAAGGAATTCATAGAGGATTTGTCGAATATTGTACGAATCTTTCATCTTTCATCTCAGTTTCGGTTTTGTAATTTATCATGTTATGTTTGGTTGCTGAGAAAGGAGAGAAATGAAAAACTTTTCAATGTCTAGGGTCTATATTGTTTGATGCCGCAAGGCTTAGTCAAACTTAGAAAAATTCCTTACGGGATTTTCAAGACTAAAGACTGGAATTGTCTACACTTTTTTTTGTTGACAACCAATCGGATTGTGGATATTCTGTTTATAGTAGAGTTTGAAGTTGGGTTTTGTTTTCTTGGTGCAGAAATACAGGACTGATGGTTTGAAACTTAGTGTTGAGCAGGTGAGTAAAGGATAAATTGACTTGATATGGTTTCAATCTAAACTTTATCAGAAGTTTGTTTTACAATCTGCATTTCTAATTTTGGATATGCTTTGTGATTTAGGAAGCAAGTGAAGGCTTGAAAGAACCCAGAAAAGTTCTATATGAAGATAAGGATTTGGTTTCTACTGTTAGTTACACTCTTAAAGAGAACCACGATGCTAAGGAATCTGGAAATGTGGGAGACACTACTGATATGTTAGAAAGAACTGAAAATGGTTGGTGTATATTCACAGGTGTTTGTATTCTGTTTCTTTCTATGCTGCTTTCTTTCTCACATTGTTTACTCTGGGTCTGCTTCATGAAAATATCAGGAACCAAATATGAGAACCAAGACGGAGATAAAAAATTTCAGCAGAGAGAAATATCATCCATGTATGGAGAAAAGGTATTCATTGTTCATCTATTATATGACCACCAGATAAGAAAAATGAAGTGAAAATGAATTTCTTTTGTTGTTGCAATAATAGGAGTTTAATGTTGTAAGTAAATATAGGAGTATCTAGTTTTTTTGGTCAAGTTCTGGCATTTTAGGTATTAAAAGCCCCAAAGTTGGTCAGGCATAAAAGTTCAGGAGCTCTTCAAGATTTTTCTTTTCTAATTTTCATACAATGGTTGAATTTTAGATATGTTGTAACAAATCATGGTGAATGCAAGCTTCGGCAGCCATACATGAATTTTTAGATGAATTTAAAAGTATGTTTTTACCTTCTGTAGCCTGTATATTAATTTATAAGGTTTTGGTTACAGAAACAATTGAACCAAGAAATAGTCCAGCAAGATCAGAATGCACACTCTCAGTCACGGAAAGTAATAGATGGGAAAATAGAACAGTTGAAAGATGTAAAACCTAACCGTGCAGTTCCACACGACAAGAATGTGCAAAATATGCTGAAAGTGACAGAGAAGATAAATGAGATGAAAGATCAAGTGGTTAGAGCTAAACTATACTTGAGTTTTACACCACCAGGCAGCAAGTCGAATCTCGTGAAGGAGTTGAAACTGCGAATTAAAGAGGTGGAACGAGCAATTAGTGGAGCCACCAAGGATTCAGATTTATCCAGGAGGTAAAAAGATTTGCCATTTCTTCCCTTGCCATTAGTTTCCAACCATGTTAAACACACCACAGAGAAAAAGAAAAAAGATGTTAAAAACAAAAATTAATGTAAAAGTGCTACTACCCATTATGACTAAAATGAAGAGTGTGATCAGTTATATCAGTAAAAAAAATTAGGCTAAGGAACATCATTTTGAGCTCCTGTTTAGTCACGAAGCATTAATACTCTCCGAAACCATTTAATTGCAGTGCTTTGCAGAGAATGAGAAACATGGAGTCTTCACTATCTAAAGCCAGCCGTGCTTACCCAGATTGCTCCTCAATGACCACAAAACTCCGTTCTATGACTCAGAACACCGAAGAGCAAGTTCAGTCGCAGAAGAAGCAAGTCTCTTATCTTTTTCACCTTGCTGCAAGCACAACTCCGAAAGGTCTTCATTGTCTTTCTATGCAGCTGACTGCAGAATACTTTGCTCTGGATCCCAAGGAGAGGCAGTTTCCTAACCAACAAAAGTTGCATGATCCGAAGCTCTATCATTATGCTGTCTTCTCTGACAATGTTCTGGCATCTACAGTCGTTGTGAACTCCACTGTTTCCACTGCCATGGTAATTTGAGTCGGACGTTTCAGTGTTCTGTTTTTTTGTTGTTGCTTGCTTTCCGATACCCATGATTTTTATTTTGGGCTACAATAAATAATTAAAAGAATTATTCACTCCGCTTAAGCAGAAACCATCACAATTAATCCCACTCTCCTAATGTTGACATTTTTCTTTTCTGCATGAAAGATTGATGACCCTTATTTTGCCCTTGTGGCATAATAATGTGCAGGAACCCGAGAAGATTGTTTTTCATGTGGTGACTGATTCACTCAATTTTCCAGCAGTCTCAATGTGGTTCTTATTAAATCCTCCTGGCAAAGCCACAATCCAGGTCCAGAGCATAGAGAGTTTTGATTGGCTGTCTACTAAGTACCATGCAGCATTAAGGCAAAACTCCAGTGACCCTAGATATGCTTCTGAACTCAACCACCTCCGATTCTATCTGCCAGAAATCTTTCCTACATTGAATAAGATTGTGTTCTTTGATCATGATGTGGTGGTGCAAAAGGATCTAACTAGATTGTGGAGTATTAATATGAAAGGGAAAGTAAATGCAGCTGTTGAGACTTGTCATAAAAGTGAAACTTCCTTCCATCGGATGGGTGCATTTATCAACTTCTCGGATCCATTTGTAGCAAAGAGGTTTCATGCCGATGCATGCACTTGGGCATTTGGCATGAATTTGTTTGATCTTCAAGAGTGGAGGAGACAGAATCTAACTACTGTCTACCATAAATACTTGCAATTGGTACATACGACTTTAAGCCTTATATTTGCTTTTTCGGGTTTTTACATTTGGAAGGCTGATGTCTGATTCATGGCATTACCAAATGCTGTACACTGTACACCGTACATGCACCTCTACTTCATATATTTGAATGTTATTGTGCAATCGTATTTTAATGCTTGTTTTGCTGTGTGTTTTGTTGCAGGGCAATAAGAGGCCATTGTGGGTGGCTGGGAGTTTGCCCTTAGGTTGGGTCACCTTCTATAAAAAGACAGTAGCTTTGGACAGGCGATGGCATATCCTTGGGCTGGGTTATGAGTCTGGTGTGGTTCGTCCTGACATTGATCGAGCAGCAGTAATACACTATGATGGAATTATGAAGCCATGGTTGGATATTGGGATTGGGAGGCACAAGGGTTATTGGAGCAAATATGTGAACTATGAAGACTCTCATCTGCAACGGTGCAACATACATGCGTAGTCCACTACTAAAATGGTGGGATTAAGATGACCTGTACCACACAATTAGTTGCTTATTGCTCCAGGATGATGGAACTGCACTGGTTCACACAATTCTTTCTTTAACGATTCTTCAATGTAAAGTCGAGCTCAATTTTTTCCCACATTTTTCTGGGCATAATCTTCTAGGATCCGAGAGTCAAAATATAGGAATAATTGGAATCAATAAGTGTCCCTGGGGGATTTTGTACTGCGGGTCTGTATTTCATGTACATAACTTTCTTTCAACTCCTTAGCTAGACTCCTACAAGCATTTTTCGATATAGACAGAGTTACTTGAAATCAATTTGGTATTCTTTTTAAGTTATAAACCCTGTGTACAAACTTGTGGATGTTTTGCCCTGGATTGCAACTTCGCATATTTTGCCCAGATTGACAATTGTCTGAATTATTTTCTGAGAACCCAGAGCGCTTGTTTATTGATTTATCTCCGGCCATTTTTATGACTTCAATTGGTGATAACTGGACTTTTTGGTGGATTATGTGACACGTGGAAAACTATGGTTGGGTTGTTGCAGATAGGGGATATCTATTGAGGGGCTGCCAAATGCAAATCTATCCATCTTGTGTGGTCCACGGTGCATACTTTGGCCCAATCAATATTAATCTGTGAATTGTTCACAGCCCCTATGAAACTGCAACTTCTGTCATAAAAATCAGTTCCATTGCAGATTGCCCATAAGCTTCTAAAATTTCCCACCAATTCTCTTTCAAAGCTGAAGATAATGGCAACCATTACTGCTAGCACTCCAACCTCATCAATCACCAGGGCAAGTCTGGTGCACAAACCATCTGTTGGGGCTCCATCCGCAACTGTGTTGGGTAAGATTGTTTTGTACACTTCTCAACTTGATTTCAATATTTTAAACTGTTCTAGAGTGCGGAGAGGTGGTTCAAACTCAGCCGCACTCGTGCGGGCACACTGTCTTGACCAACTGGTCTAA